CAATACACATTTGTCACCGTTATTCCTTGAAATATACGTCTTGTCTTCTTACTCATCACCCAAAACGATATAGTGCTACGTACAAATAGACAAATCACAGAAAGCTATAGAAACTCACTCCTTCCTCATCAGAATCATCATCATCTGACTCAGCCTTTGCACTCTTTTTCACCCCTGCAGGTGTTGCCTTTGGTTTTACTACAGCATTCCCTGCATCGGAAAATGGCATTCGTTATTATTAACTTTCAGAAAAAAAACACAAGTACTCTGCCAAGTTCATGTGAGACTAGATACCATTTACGGTAATGGTGGCAGGAATTTCCTCTTCTTCCTCTTCTTCAGAATCTGTCAAAATGACATTGATTCATCAACAATAAACCCAAAACTACGGTAAGAAACAGAAAAAGAGATTATCTTGTGACTCACCAGAAAAGTATTCTCCTCCATCCGTGGAAACACAATCCATAAAGAGTTAAGGAAGCCAGGAAAATCAAATTCAAGATAAATTATCTTTCTTTTGGTCAACATAACAAAAAGCCAAAACGCAAAAGCATAAACATCATTAAAAAAAACTATCAAGGATATTCGATGTTGGGAGATTTGAATCCAACAAAGTAGTCACTTCCTTTCCCCCAGTTGTGGGAAAGCTCAAACTCCTTGTCGAACACCAAATCACAGTTAAGCTGAGGGATACTCTCAGATAAAAGAGTTCCCAAAACAAGTTTCTGGTTTCCAACCTTCACATACAAAGGAACAGTTTCTCCCTTCTTGTTTTTACATTCCCCAAGAGATGCCTACACATACAAGAAATTCAAGATTCTTACACTTGACACATATATAAACTCTCAGAATCAATCAATTGCAGTTCTGATACTAACCTGAGATATGTGAACAAGGGTGTCTTCTTCAGGAATTACTTTAAGTGGCTTCCCTGATTCAACTTCAACTCATGTTTACATCATTCAAACAAAAAAACCAACATGAACATCATTATATAATAATAAACAGCTTCAAGTAGATCTCTATCACACCATTTCAAATGCTCAAAACTCTAATTAAATG